TGAGTTCAAGGACAGCCTAGGCTACATAGCGAGACCCTGACTCAAAAAACAAAAACAACAAAAAAGGTTTTCGAAGGAAGGAATATTAAACACATAAATGTTTTTTCATGGCTAAGGGTTAGAGCAGCATCTAACACAGCATATAAAACATGGTCTCAGCTGCCCAACCTCCCCAGTACTTATTTTTATTGTAAGATGGCGAATTGTTGTTGAAAATAAGTCTCCCTAGGATAATTCAGCACAGCTAATGTACTCAGGTCTCATTACTAAAGCATGCCTGATAGAATTGTCCAATGATAGGCAGGGTTCATTTAAAAAATTTCCAATCTGGCCGGGAGTGGTGGTGCACGCCTGTAATCTCAGCACTCAGGAGGCTGAGGCAGGAGGATCACTGTGAGTTCGAGACCAGCCTGGGCTACATAGTGAGTTCCAGGTCAGTCTCAACTACATAGTGAGACCCTGCCTCAAAAAACAAAAACAAAAAAAATTTTTTTTTCAATTTGCTGTGGACTGATGTTTTTGTGAAATTTAACTAAATGAATTACTAGGCTACTAGCCAAGTGACATAAAAACACAAGTCTCCATTTATTATTTTTATAATCAATTGTGAATTTTTTTTCAGTACTAGGGATTGAACCAGGGCCTTCACACTGAACGACTCCCCTGGCCCTTCTGTATTTTCTATTTTGAGATAGGCTGTTAGTCTTGTGCCAAGTTGCCCAGGCTGGGTTCAATCTTGCCACCCTCCTGCTCGACCTGCGAGTGTGGGGGAGGCTTTTCACATGGGCACATGCGGATTAGGTCATCACCCCTTTGCTGGGGACACGATGCTCCACTGGGTGGCAGCCTGGCAAGTTGTTGGCCATTGGAGAGGGTGGTGCAGCCGACCCCAGAGGCTGTTTACCTGCTTATCCTGATCTGCACACACTCAGTCCCTTGGGATTTCCCAAGTGTGGGCACATGGACTTATATTCTTTAAAATAAAAGCTCTACATTGAAATATAACCCATATACCATGCTCTTTTCTTTTTTGGGGGGTTACCAGGAATCGAACTTGGTATCTTGCATTTGCAAGGCAGGATGTGGAACCACTGAGCCACATCCCCGGCCCTCCATACTTGCTCTGTTAAAGTACGCAGTTGAGTGTTATTATGAGACAGGGTCTTGCCATGCAGTCCAGGCTGGTCTCGAACTTACACTGACTGTCCTGCCTCTGCCTCCCCGGTGCTGGGTCAACAGATGTGTGCCACCACGCCTGGCCATGACAAACCCTATGTGCATTAGTAGCCATCCGCATCCTCCCCCTGTCCTAGGAACTGGCCATATTCTGTTCTGTGGCCTTCCTGTTCTGGACATTTCATAAATGGAATCAATCATATACTTTGTTGCATTTTGCAACTCTTTCACTTAGCATAATGTTTGAAAAGTTTGTCTGGGTGCTAGCACTTCATCCCTTTTGATGGCTGAATAATAGTTCACTGTATAGAACCACTGTGTGGAACAAAATGACTTTTTGTTTATTCATCCATCAGTTGATTTTTTTTCTTTCTGTATTTTGAGATAGAGTGCTGCTAAGTAGTCCAGGCTGGCCTTGACTCACTATATGTGGCCCAGGCTGGCCTCGAACTTTTGGTGATCCTCCTGCCTCAGCCTCTCAAGTGTTGGGATCACAGGTGTGCACCACTACACCTGGCTAGAACTTTTGCATTGTTTCCACTTCTTGGCTATTATGAATAATGCTGCCATGAACATTCATGTACAGGTGTGTGTGTGTGTGTGTGTGTGTGTGTGTGTGTGTACTGGAGATTGAAACTCGGGCCTTTGAACTGAGTTACATCGCCAGCCTTTTGATTTTCATTAAGTAAGTAAATTGCCAAGTCTGGGCTCAAACTTGCAATATTCCTGCCTCAGCCTCCCAGAGTGCTGGGATCACAGGCCTGCACCTCCATGGCTGGTTAGTTGTTTTTATTTTTTTGTCCTTTGAAGCACAAATCTTAGTTTTTAAAAAGTTAATTTTATTATTGCATTTGAGATATTACATAACAATCGCACTCATCACAGGGAATTTGTGTCCATGATACACTGATTCTTCTTCTCCACTCCCCTCCCTTCAACTCCTCTTCTTCTTATTTACAAAAGCTTTGTTTCCATTTTCTTCCTTCTCTTCTCTTTCCACTTTTAATTCCAAAGTTTTAGTTTTGGAATGATTCTCTCTTTAGTTTTTAAATTCCAAATTTTAGCTTTGACAAAGCCAATTCACCTATTTATTTCTTTTGTTACTGTGCTTTTGGTCGCTTAGGTAACCATTGCCCAATCCAAAGTCAAGAAACTGTATCTGTTTTCTTTTTCTTTTTAAATATCAGGATTGGGGCTGGGGTGTAGCTCAGTGGCAAGCGCCTGCAAGGTCCTGAGTTCAGTTCCCAGTACTGTAAAAATAAATAAATAAAAATAAACAGACATTGGGGGTTGCCCCCAGGGCCTCACACATGCCAGGCAAGCACTCCGGTGCCCAGCTCTACCCCCAGGATCTCCCGCCTTTGATTTGCTCATACTAACCTGCCTTGCCACCTCCTGCCTCAGCCTCAAAGTAGATGGGATTCTAGGTGTGCACCACCAGGTCCAGATGTCTGCTTTTTGTTTGTGGTACAAGGGATTAGACACGGTGCCTTACTTGCTGAGCTACATCCCAGCCTTTGAAAAAAAGTGTTTGGAGATCAGATCTTGGTGTTGCCAGGGCTGGGAGCCTGCTGCCTTTGCCTCCCAGAGCGTGGGTCCCCTGTGTGACCCACCCTACCCGCGGTCGACCTGAGTTTAAGGCCCAACTCTGCCCCCTACCAGCTAAGTAGACTTGCACAGTTATCCAGCCCTCTGAATCTGTTTCTTTGAAGAGTTTTGTAGTTTCAGTCCTTACGTGGTTCTGTGATCAACTTGATGTCCCGCTCCAGTTCTGGGTCTGAACTCAGGCCCTGGTGCATGCTAGGCAAGTGCTCTACCAAGGAGCTGTCCCCAACCCCTTTTCATTCTGAGACAAGGTCTTGCTTTTTTGCTCAAGCTGGGCTTAAACCTGAGGTCCTCTTGCCTCAGCCTCCTGAGTGCTGGGGTTGCAGGCACGTACCTCTGTGCTCAGCTCGTGTTAATTTTCTTTTCTTTTTGGTACCAGGAATTGAACTCAGGTCCCTGCCCTTTCGAGGCAGGCGGTGGCACCACTGAGCTAAATTCCTGGCTCTGGTGTTGACATTTTTGATCTGCCAAGTTGTCTCCAAAGATGATGTCCTAGGGAATATTCCCGCCCCAGGAGATGAGTGCCTGTGTCTCAGACTGGGCCGCCAAGGTCAGAAAGGCAGTAGTGGGCTTGGCTTAT